CTGTCAGCTCACACTGGACCCCAACACAGCGCACAGACACCTCTGTCTGTCTGAGGGGAACAGGAGGGTGACCTGGAGCAGGGAGCCCCAGCAGTACCCCGATCACCCCGAGAGATTCGACCACTGGCAGCAGGTGCTGTGCAGAGAGGGGCTGTCCGGGACTCGCTGTTACTGGGAGGTGGAGTGGAGTGGGGGGTGTGTGGCTATCGGAGTCATGTACAGGGGAATCAGCAGGAAGGGACGGAATGTTCCCAGCCATCTCGGACACAACGACCAGTCCTGGAGTCTGTGCTGCTCCGGGTCCAGCTGCTCCTTCTGGCACAACAAGGAGAAAACTGCAGTAGCTGCCCCTCCCTCCTCCAGGATAGGGGTGTGTGTGGATCACAGGGCTGGGACTCTGTCGTTTTATAGCGTCTCCACGGCCCTGAGCTTTTATCAACGACTGTGGTCCCTGTACAGCGCCCCTGAAACCATGTCCCTCCTCCACAGAGTCCAGACCACGTTCTCGGAGCCCCTGTATGCTGGCTTCATGGTGGGGTCAGACTGTTCCCTCTCCCTGCCACAGCTGGGGTAGAGGTGGGCGCCTCTGTCGTGTGCGAACACCAGGCCGCTGAGCTCTCCGGACTCCGGAACCAGGGGACACGACAGCTCTTTCCTTCACAGGCAGCTCGCGGCCCGACGTTGTCTTCCGTTGAAACCAATGGAATTATTTTCGTCCTTTTTGACCACTTCAGAAAGCATTTCTTTGGCCGTGAAACCAGTCTGCAAAGGTTTTATTGTTAATAATGACCCTGGTGCTAGTGGGAGAGGGATCTGACTGGTTCGGCAGAGCTCAGTCCAGTCTAGTCCAGTCCAGTTGGACCTGGAGATCTGACTGGGTCAGCAGAGCCCAGTCCAGTCGAGTCCAGTCCAGTCCAGAGAGTGTGCAGGAGGGACACCGCTGAACCTGGAGATCTGACTGGGTCAGCAGAGCTCATAGTAGACACAGACTGCTAAGACCTGTCTGAACCAAGCTGAGCTACTTCAGGAGCTCCAGTGGAAAGTAGTTTATGTGCTAAACTGGAGGGAACTTAAAGACCAAATATAAATACATTCAAATAAATGCAGATACTTTCCTTTAAGGTAGTAATAGAATAATATTAATCACATATAACACACATAGGTAATCAGAATGGTTCCACTGACTCAGGAAAATGGTCCTGTGAAGCGTTTCTCAACCTGCCTTGTGTCTGTGGCTTGGCATGGCCCTGGACTGGAAGACGCTGTTGAAAATGGATGAATGATGAGCGCTACGGTGGAATCGATAATGAATCGTGAATGAATACTGGGGTCAGCAGGAGGTCTCCTCCTCCTCGTCTCCCTGCGGTCCTGCTGCTGGCTGACACTGCCCTGACACACGGACTGCAGCCCCGGGGTGACTCGTCCTGGCGGGACGAGTCCGAGAAAATGACCAGTCTCACACCAGCAGCCTGTGATGCAACTTCAGCTTTATTTAGCGACAGGCGAGGAAGGAATACAGCACAGGTACCGTGAAGACAACAGGTCTTGGACAGCAGGGACACTGGACACCACCAGGAGAGAGAGAGCAGGGGCACAGCAGTGCAGTCCGCCTCTCAGCTCCCCAGCTGCTGGGCTCTTGCACTGCACGGGCCTGATGGGGCAGGAAAGCTGGCTCGTATATTCGACCTGTGGGCTTAATTCGATTTCAGCGCCACACCGGTCTGAGCTCTGCCAGCGTGAAATCTATCAGCCTCCTGAGAGCAACGGGGGGCGGGGGGGGGGGCTTGGGATCCGGCTCCCTCTGGTGGAGGAAGGGAAGATGGCGCTTTGCTGGGCATGCTGTGTTCCTGATTAATTTCTGGGGCACTCAGGATGGAATAGTTTGACCCCCACATTATAGATCTTTTGGAGTGTGTTCTCCAGCTCACCCACAGTGGTAACTTTGGTTTCATTTTCGTCATTGGTTGCAATGGCTGCCCAGGACCTCAGCTTATTCTTTTTGAGCTGACAGCAGGCAGCTGCCCAGATGTGGCTGGGCACAGTGACCCGGTCGTTGCCCACTTTTTGGTTGCCAGGGACGGCGCCAACAAGGGCGTAAGTTACTTTGCACCCCTGACTCTTGTCTCTCATGGTTTGGGTCTCGTAGTTGTTCCACGTGCCCTGGTTCAGCTGATTGAACTGAGGCACGATGTTGGTGAGGGTGAAGGTGGCAGTCTTGGAATCGCCATCATCGTGGTGCAGACTTGGGTTCAGATGCCCTCGGTCATATATGTTGCTGTTTGTTTTGTAATCATCAGAAACTGCTTGGCTCTCTTTCAGCTTCTTTTTATCAATACTGGTCTGTTTTTCATTTTGCATGTCTTTTAAACTCTTCTTGTTCTCCGCCAACTGTAAAATGAATAAAAAAGCAGTTTGTTTAGTTGAATGGATGAAATGATGTGTCCTGGGCACAGTCAGGAGACTGTATAATACCGTTGTTGCGAAACAGATTCGTACCTGGGGCTCTATAAACCAGTCTGGTCTCTTACACACTCCAGCCTTTGGCCTGTAGAGATACGCAGAGTAAACCGGAATCCTTTTCTGTCGGTCGTACAGCGTGGCAAAGTGGTATCTGTTATTGTACCGCTGGCAGATGCGGGCTGCCTGGTTAGGCATGCCAACACGGGCCTCTTGACCCTTGAAGAAGAACTGCGAGCAGGGCGTGTTCTTGAAGGTGTGTTTCAGAACCTCAGCCTGCGCCAGGAGAAGGAGGCACAGGCCAGCCTGCAGAGGTGGGAGCAGCAGCATGGCTGATGAGTGACGTTTTCACTGGAGGAGAGAGGACAGAGCGGGAATTCAGTCCAGAGCAGACAGGGGGCGATGTACAACGTAATCACATTCTGTATTCTGTCACCCAGCTGTAGCGCAGCGTCAGTGTCCATTCTGTCACTCAGCTGTAGTGCAGTGTCAGTGTCCATTCTGTCACACACCTGTAGTGCAGTGTCAGTGTCCATTCTGTCACTCAGCTGTAGTGCAGTGTCAGTGTCCATTCTGTCACACACCTGTAGTGCTAGTGTCAGTGTCCATTCTGTCACTCAGCTGTAGTGCAGCTTCAGTGTCCATTCTGTCACCCAGCTGTAGTGCATTGTCAGTGTCCATTCTGTCACTCAGCTGTAGTGCAGTGTCAGTGTCCATTCTGTCACTCAGCTGTAATGCAGTGTCAGTGTCCATGATGTCACCCAGATGTAGTGCATTGTCAGTGTCCATTCCATCACCCAGCTGTAGTGCAGTGTCAGTGTCCATTCTGTCACACACCTGTAGTGCAGTGTCAGTGTCCATTCCATCACCCAGCTGTAGTGCAGTGCCAGTGTCCATTCTGTCACACAGCTGTAGTGCAGTGTCAGTGTTCATTCTGTCACTCAACTGTAGTGCAGTGTCAGTGTCCATTCTGTCACTCAGCTGTAGTGCAGTGTCAGTGCTCATTCTGTCCCACACCTGTAGTGCAGTGTCAGTGTCCATTCTGTCACTCAGCTGTAGTGCAATAATAATAATAATAATAATAAAAAACTTTATTTTATATAGCGCCTTTAAAGGTGGCTTCTCAAAGCACTTAATGTTAGTGTTCATTCTGTCACATACCTGTAGTGCAGTCAGTGTCAATTCTGTCACTCAGTTGTAGTGCAGTGTTAGTGTTTATTCTGTCACACACCTGTAATGTAGTGTCAGTGTCCATTCTGTAAAACAGCTGTAGTGCAGTGTCAGTGTCCATTTTGTCACTCAGCTGTAGTGCAGTGTCAGTGTTCATTCTGTCGCTCAGCTGTAGTGCAGTGTCAGTGTTCATTCTGTCACTCAGCTGTAGTGCTAGTGTCAGTGTCCATTCTGTCACACACCTGTAGTGCAGTGTCAGTGTCCATTCTGTCACTCAGCTGTAGTGCAGTGTCAGTGTTCATTCTGTCGCTCAGCTGTAGTGCAGTGTGAGTGTCCATTCTGTCACACACCTGTAGTGCAGTGTCAGTGTCCATTTTGTCACTCAGCTGTAGTGCAGTGTCAGTGTCCATTCTGTC